AGAATATAGAAAAATTGAATAAGCCTGAGTTCATGGATATCCCCAAACTAGAGACTACACATTCTTTTCCAGTTCACCTTAAACTTTTAACAAAACATTTGTCACCATGTTCTAGGCCACAAAACAAGTCTCAAGAAACAGAAAAAGAATTGGTATCATACAGTCCATGTTCTTGAGCTGCAATAGAATAAAATCACAAATCAATGACCAAAGTAATACTGTATTCCATATGTTTGGAAATTTTATATACTTATCTATTTGCAGTATAGGGATTAAACCAAGGGCCTTGTGCATGCTAAGCCAGAGCTCTGCCACTGAGCTGCACCTCCAACCCTGGAAATTTAAGTTTTAAAATGCACTTCTAGCCATGGGTGGTAGCACATGCCTGTAATCCCAGTAACTGGGGAGGCTAAGGCAGGAAGATGGCAAATTCAAAGCCAGTCTCACCACCTTACTGAGACCCTATCTCAAAATCAAAAATAGGGGCTGGTGTTATAGCTCAGTGGTAGAGTGCTTACCTAACATGGGTGAGGCACTGGTTTTGATCCTCAGCACCACATATAAATAAAAAATATATTTTTTAAAAAAATAAAAAATAAAGAGGGTTAGGGATCTAAGTCAGTGGTAAAGCACCCCAGGTTCAAAAGAAAGAAAGAAAGAAAGAGAGAGAGAGAGAGAGAGAGAGAGAGAGAGAGAGAGAGAAAGAAAGAAAGAAAATGAAGAGATAATGTGCAGAATAGAAGAGTATATTTTGAAAGTATATATCTGATAAGGGGTTAATATTCAAAATGTATAAGGAACTCATGGCGCTACTCTGGCCAACCACAACCCTGAAATTACTTACAGTGTCATCAGTACTGCTCTGTACAAACACTTCTCATGGCAACACGTTACAGAAGAAAAGACCCTCCAGATACAGTCAGAATATCTGGAATCCAGTCCATGTGTCCACTGGCTTGCAGCATGACCTTGAACAAGTCCCTCTCACATGAATAATGAGAGGGAGGACATGAGTACTGAGGTTCTCTCCAATTCTGACACCTAGAGTTCTTCTTTAGTAAAAACAGCTTCAATTTTAAAGTTTAAATTTGTTATAAAGGTAATACGCACTGTGTGTTAAAAATACATTTTACCAATGGCACAGAACTATAAGAAATAACAAAGCCAGCCTCAAGTCTATCCCCAGAGGAGGCTGCTCTGCATGTGTCCCTATGTTCACATCTAATTTTATATGATAGAAATTCATTCATTGTTCTGGGGCTTGCTTTATTTGTGTCAGTTCCAGAAACCTACCTTACTATTCATATTCATAGTACGAATGGTTTAGAATTTATCTATTTCAGTAGTGGGATTTGAGGGTGTTAAATTTGGGTCTGTTACACAAGTCACAAACATCATTTCAAATGTACCTCTGTGTACATGTATATGTATAAATGTACCTGGAGGGGAAAGCACTTTGAAGTAGAACTGCTCATTCAAAGAGTTTATTAAAAGTGCCCTCCCCAAAGACTAGAAGCATATTACCATCTACAGAAATGGAACTGTACAGGAACAGCTTGGTACAACATGTAAACCAAGCTTCCTGCCTGCCACAGCACCAGCATACATGCTCACTGCATGCCAGTACTGACCAGATCACTAACTCAAAGGAAAACATTCTGATACCACATAACTTCATAAAGTCATCCTCTCAAAGGACAGTGGCCCCATTGTCCCCTAGGGGGTCTAGGAGGCCATAACTATTTTCATAATCACCCTCAAATGTTTGTTGCCCTTTTTACTGGATCAGCATTTACACTGTGATACAAAAGGTGAGTAAACTTGCCAGCCCTTGGCATGCAGCAAGGCCCAAGATATGATGAGACTCTTCATCACTACACAATGGCAGTCCAGAAAGAATGCCTGTTTCACCTAAGAAAGTCCTAGATGAAGCTGGTAGGCAGAATTCTCCGATAGCCACAAAGATTCCTACACTCTATATAATTTTCATTCCTTGAGTGTGGGAAGGACCCAGGCCCAGGCTGGATGGCACTGTCATGATGAAGTTTTAACATGGAAGAGGTCAATAGATTTTGCAGTGTGACTTTAGATTACTCAAATGGGAGAATACTCTAGGTGATTTGGACATAATCAGGTGAGCTCTTGAAAAGTGGGCTTAGGCCTTCTCTGAATGATACCACAGACAGCAGAATCTCTCACTCTTGTGCTGATCTTGAAGAAATATGCAACTGTGAGTTTCACAGCTTCATGGAAATGAATTCTGTTAACAATTATGAATCTTTAAACATGTTACCTTACACAAGGAAAGGCCCTTTGAAGATGTGATTAATCTAAGGCCCTTGACACAGGGAGATTATCTGGTCAGGGCCAATGTAATCATAAGGGCCTCTGCAAGGAGAGACAGGAAGGAGAGGCAGAGGAGATGTGATAATGGAAGCAGGAATGGGACTCAGAAAGCTTGACTATGCTACTCAACTGGCCTTGAAGATGGAGGAAGTAGCCACAAGCCAAAGAATACTCGTGGTTGTACACATAGGAAAAGGGAAGGAAACAGATTCTCCCCTAGAGTCTCAAAAGAAATGTAGCTTTGCTAGCTCCTTTAGCATAACGCATTTTGAATTAATAATCTCAATTATTATAAGATAAATTTGAATTGTTTAAAAAGCCGGGTTTATGGTCATTGATTTATAGCAGAAATAGGAAACTGACATGACCTCAGACTTCAGAAGACACCCTAGCCCCAGCTGACATCTGGATTGCACCTTTGCAAGGGGACACTAAGCAGAGGATCCAGCTAAATAGGTGCCACATTCCTGATCCTAGGCAAATGAGAATTAAGTGAATAGAAAATCATTTTAATTCACTAAACTTATGGTAATTGGAGCAGAAAACGTTTATTAGAATTCAACCTTGAATACACATCTTTTTAACATTCCATGTGATGAAATGAGAAGGTGCTTAGAGAACTTCTGTTTCACACCCAAGCATAATAGGTGACTCAAGAAAAGTAAACAATACCAATGAAATCAATACAAAAGAAAAAAAGGCTGGGGATGTGGCTCAGTGGTTGTGTGCTCCTGAGTTCAATCCCCAGTACCAAAAAGGAAAAAAAAGGGATGGCATAGCCAAGAAATTAGAAAAAAGGAAAGGTATAACACATTGATAAGAGGATGAACACACCTGGAAGAAATAATATTTTTAAATTTGGAAGCACTGAAACACTCAAAATACATGAATCAAAAAGTGGTAGAGGTAAAAGGAAAAATAAACAATGAAAAATAATGACAGAAAAATTAGGGGAATTTGCAAATTCTACTGACTAAAATAAATAAAAATGATTATAAAAAGGGAATACTATTAACAAAAGTATGCCAATAAATTGGTAGCCTAAATGAAATGGACAAAATTTTGAAAGACACAAACTACTGAAAATAACTCAGGGAGAAATAGAAAGTCTGAATAGACAAGTAAACAGAACTAGGGGCTGGGGCTATGGCTCAATGGTAGAGAGCTTGCCTAGCGTGCATTAGACCCTGGGTTCAATCATCAGCACCACAAAAAAAAAAAAAAAAAAAAAAAAAATCAAGTAAATAAAACTAATTATCAAACTTTAATGAATAAAAGCCCAGGACCATATGGCTTCACTGGTGAATTATACAAAACATTTAAAGGACAAATAGCAATCTTTCTACAAGTCTTCCAGAAAACAGAAGATATACTTTCAAATTCATTCAACAAGACCAGCATGACTCTAATGCCAAAACCAGACAAAGACATCTTAAGAAAAACTGCAGACCTCTATTATGAATACAGATGCAAAAATCTACAAAAAATACCAGCACGTCAAATCCAACAAAAAAGAGTTATATTCCATTTAATTTTTTAAAGGATCAAAAGCAGTTCAATGAAGGAATAGTCTTTTAAATAATGGTGTTGGGAATAATTAGAAATTCATATGCAAGGGGAAAAAAACCCAGAAAATCGATGGAACCTGGGAATCCTAGTTCTTAGACATGGTATCAAAAGCATAATCCAGGGCTGAGGTTGTGGCTCAGTGGTAGAGCACTTGCCTAGCATGTGTGAGGCACTGGGTTTGAATCTCAGCACCACATGTAAATAAATAAAACATAAAGGTCCATTGACAACTAACAAAATGATTTTAAAAAGTATTGTCCATAAAAGGAAAAGCTGATAAGCTGGACATCATCAAAATTTAAAATGTCTGCTCTACAAAAGTCCTTGTTAAAAGATTGAAAAGATAAGCTACAAAATAGGAAAAAAAAACATTTGCAAAACACTTCTGACTGAAGACTTGTGTCTAGAATACTTAAAGAGATCTCAAAACTCAACAGTAAGAAAAACAAAAAACTCCAATTTATGTTATTATGTATGGTTTTTAATGTCATTTACATGGATTGGTTAATAGTTTTTTTTTTTTTTTTTTTAGTTTAAGTTCTTAGATGATACATATTGATTCATAATGATCCATGTTAACGAAAGCTCTTAAGATCAATAATTAGGCTGGAGTTGTGGCTCAGTGGCAGAGCACTTGCCTAGCATGTGTGAAGCACTGGGTTTGACCCTTAGCGCTGCATAAAAATAAACAAATTAGAAAAAAGATATGCTATTCATCTACGACCACAAAAAAAAAAAAAAAAAAAACAAAGATCGGGGCTGGGGTTATGGCTCAGTGGTAGAGAGCTTGCCTCACATGTGCAAGGCCCTGGGTTCAATCCTCAGCACCACATATAAATAAATAAATAAATAAATAATAAAGATATTGTGTATAAGTACAAAATATATATATATATAGAGAGAGAGAAAAACAAAGATCAATAATTTAGGAAATACTAAGACTAAAATGTTGGGGCATGATTGTATATTAGGGTTCTCTTGGTATTTGAAGTGTCCTAGTTTCACAAGAGGATCACTGGGACACAGGGCAGAATCCTGCATGGAGCTATGCCACAGGCCAGTGGTTCCAACCAGTTAGGACTTACCTCTTCCTCCTGCACTTGGTTTCCTATGGCCATCATCTCGATCACCCAAAGCATCAGACAAATCAAAATCACCTTTCCAAACATAAAGGAAACAAGCAAGTGATTAACAATGGGGCGCAAGACTCCAAAGAAAGCAAAACAACACCCATGGGTTCAACTGATCAGCACTAACAATGAGTTAAGAAAACAGAAACTGAAAATGAAATCTCTGTATACAGACACTGTTAATGAAAATACCCACAGGATGGAGCAAGTTCCTGCTTTCTGATTCTGCAGTATACTGATGTTAAAATTAATTTAGATTCTTACAGATGCTTTGCTTTGGCCAGCAGGTGGATCATTTTAATGATATACTTGCTGATTGCAGGTATTAACCAAGATTCAAAACCAGATGTGCAAAGTCCATAAACAGGAAAACTAAAAGGGGGGACACAGCCAGGTGTGGTGGCGCACACCTGTAATCCCTGCGGCTTGGGAGGCCGACGCAGAAGGAGCAGGAGTTTACAGCCAGCCTCAGCAGTGAGGCCCTTGTGGCTCAGTGGTTGAGTACCTGGGTTCAATCCCTTGTACCAAAAAAAAAAAAAAAAAGCAAGACCACATGGTCACAAAATACCCCTTTGAATCTGGAAATGTGAAGACATGATGTTAACTCATGCAGTGACTCTCTTAGATCATCGCTGTCTCTTTGAAAGGAAAGTAGCTCTCCACTGAATGGAAGGTATCAGCATGTCTCCTGAAAGTACTGTAAACAAGTTACCAATGGAGGCAGTAACTAAGTCTGTGATCCCCAAAGCCAAGCTTTTCTTTAAATCACTGAAGATGTCCAAATGGCAAAATGGTCCAACTAAAGAAAGGTTCAAACAATTACAGGAAAGAGTCATTACAGAAATACTGAGTTCCAAAATCCTTTCCTAAAAGGTAAGCCCATAAAATAAATCCCATTACAAAATGTTCTCTCTGCCTGAAAAAAAAAAAAAAAAAAAAAAAAAAGTCTGATGGGCTTCATAAAGCCTAACCAATTACAAATACATTTTCTCTGATTTTAGAAAATTAAATGGTTGAATAAGGGAAAAAATACAAATGCATTTTTCTCTTTAAAATTTCCATGGCAGAACTTTTCATAAAACACACAAAAAGCACAATGATCAGCTAGGTATGCACTTTACTAAGTTGAACCCAATGTTTAGACAAAAGCTTTGGTTGGCTTTGCACACATGGGGAAAAATATACACTTAGCTTATTTGGGCAGTGCCCCAAGGGGGTACCACCAGGGCCCTAATTACTGCCCTCCTCAGAGCAGCCAGTTACCTGCAGGATATGCTGGAGCTCTGGTTGTTCCTGGCCTCCTGGTTGTAGTAGTGGTGAGGTGGTCCCATCTCTCTAGAAGGGGTAGAAAGGACATCAAGGAAAGCATATTTAGTAACCAAACACAGCAACTACTCCATGGCTTGCAGTAAGTAACCTTGCATTAGTCCCTGAGAGCACCAAACCTTTGTTCCACACTGTCAACCTGGCACTTTAACCATAGACAATACTGTTCAGGGACAAGCTGGGGTTATGTTCCTAGTGAAATATGGAAGTATTCCATAGATTGAAAGTAGTCAAGGGCTGAGGTTGTAGCTCAGTGGTAAAGCACTTGTCTTGCACTCATAGGGCCCTGGGTTTGATCCTCAGCACCACATAAAAATATAAAAATAAAGATATTGTGTCCATCTACAAGTAATATATATATATATTTTTAAAAGAAAATAGTCAAAACACATGAATGAAATATTTTATTAAGTATGCTTACCATTAGAAATATTAGGACTTTGGGCTCAAGCATATTCCTTTAAAATTATTTATATCATTCACAAGAATTACATGATGTGCATGAATTTTCCAATAATTTCTTTTCACAGAAATCAAAACTATGATGCATGTTTCCCTACTGTCAAAAGAAGAAGAGGAAAAGAAACAATCAGTGAGGTGAATAGAGAGCCTACAGAATGGCAGCAAATTTTTACCACATGCACACACATCAGATAGAACACTAATCTCTAGAATATATAGAGCTCAAAAATCTGAACACCAAAAAAATAAATAAATAAATAACCCAATCAATAAATGGGCCAAGGAACTGAACAGGCACTTCTCAGAAGATGATATACAGTCAATAAATATATGAAAAAATGTTCAACATCTCTAGTAACTAGAGAAATGCAAATCAAAACTAGTCTAAGATTTCATTTCACTCCCGTCAGAATGGCAGCTATTAAGAATACAAACAATAATAAGTGTTGGTGAGGATGTGGAGAGAAAGGCACACTCATACATTGCTGGTGGGACTGCAAATTGGTACAACCAATCTGGAAAGCAGTATGGAGATTCCTTGGAAAACTTGGAATAGGACCACCATTTCACCCAGCTATCCCACTCCTCTGTTTATACCCAAAGAAATTAAAAACAGCATACTATAGTGACGCTCAATTCACAGTAGTTCAATTCACAATAGCTAAATTGTGGAATCAACCTAGATACCCCTCAGTATATGAATGGATAAAGAAACTGTGGTATACTATATACATAATGGAATATTACTCAGCATTAAAAGAGAATAAAATCATGGCATTTGCAGGTAAATGGATGCAGTTGGAGAAGATAATGCTAAGTGAAGTTAGCCGATCCCAAAAAACAAATTCTGAATGTTTTCTCTGATATGAGGATGCTGATCCATAGTGGGGTAGGGAAGGGCAGCATGGGAGGAATGGAGGAACTTTGGATAAGTCAATGGGGAGGGAGGGAGGAGAAGGGAGGGAGTAGAATGGTAGAATGAGATGGACATCATTACCCCAAGTACATGTATGAAGATATGAACCGAGTGACTCTGTGTATAACCAGAGACATGAAAAATTGTGCTCTATATGTATTCTATGAATTGAAATGCATTCTGCTGTCATATATAACAAATTAGAATAAATAAATGAATTTTAAAAAAGAAGTAGAGGAAATCAGTGCTCTATCTGATATGCATGTAGTAAAGATGTTCTCCTGGTCTGTGAACTCTCTTTTCACATTGTTTCCTTTGCTGAGACGAAGCTTTTTAGTTTGAATCCATCCCATTTATTGATTCTTGATTTTACTTTTTGTAGTTTAGAAGTCTTGTTAAGGAAGTCAGGACTTAATCCAACATGATGGAGATTTGGACCTACTTTTTCTTCTATTAGGCACAGGGTAGGGTCTCTGGTCTAACTCCCAGGTCCTTGATCTGCTTTGAGTTGAGTTTTGTGCATGGTGACAGATAGAGGTTTAATTTCATTTTGCTGCATATGGATTTCCAGTTTTGCCAGCACCATTTGTTAAAGAGGCTTTCTTTCCACCAATGTATGTTTTCAGCGCCTTTGTATTATATGAGATAACTGTATTTGTGTGTGTTTGTCTCTGTGTCTTCCATTCTGTACCATTGGTCTACATGTCTAGTTTTATAGTGACACAACCATATCAATGTTTATAGCGGCTCAATTCACAACAGCTAAACTGTGGAAACAATCTAGATGCCTTTCAATCAAAGAATGGATAAAGAAACTGTGATACATATACACAATGAAATATTACTCAGCATTAAAAGAGAATAAAATTATGGTATTTGAGGGTAAATGGATGGAGTTGGAGAAGATCATGCTAAACAAAGTAAGCAAATCCTAAAAAAAAAAAAAAAAAGCTGAATGTTCTCTCTGGTAAGTGGATGCTGATCCATAATGGGGGGGGGGGTGCATGGGAAGAATGTAGAAACTTTGATTGGGCAATGGGGAGGGGGAGGGGAGGGGGCATGGGGGCAGGAAAGATGGTGGAATAAAATGGACATCAATACCCTAAGTACATGTATGACTGCACATATGGTGCAAATCTACATCATGTACAACAAGAGAAAGGAAAAGTTGTTCTCCATTTGTATACAATGAATCAAAATGCATTCTGCTGTCATGTATAACTGATTAGAACAAAGAAAAGAAAGACGTAGAGGAAAAGAAGGCTTAAGTAATGTGAAAGGCAGACACAAAACAAGTTCAGCTTTGTATACAGCAAGTACTCGATGGGTATTATTTACTTAGAAAACAAACAACAAAAATAGAAATAAGTTGTGAGAAAAGAATGGAAAAGGATATATTGCACAAACAATAGTAAGAGAGCTAGTGTAGCTGTACTAATACCAGATAAAACAGATGTTAAAACAAAAAGTATTTTCAGAGTCAGATTGACATTTATAGTGATTACAGGGTGAATTCAACAGGGAGATAAAATAATCTTAAATATATATGCACCTAAAACCATCCCAAAATGCATGAAGCAAAATATGATAATACTGAAAGGAAGACTAGATAATTTAACATTAACAGAGATTTCAATACACTCTTTTCAATTATAGAAGAAACAATGAGGCGGAAAAAGAAAATCCTAATTAGAATAAGATGTATTCCATCCTTGCATAAGTATATCAAATAGACTACACTGTCATCTATAACTAAAAATAACCAGTTTTAAGAAAGGACTTGAACAACTGTATAAACTAAATAGACCTAGTAGTTATCATGAAATAAACCAACTGGGAACAGAACATACATTTCCTCAAGTGTATATGAAACATTTTCTAAGACCAACCTTATCTAAATGACAAAACAAGCCTCAATAAATTTTTTGTGGTGCTGGGAATCAAACCCAGGGCCTTGCACACGCTAGAAAAGTGCTTTACCACTGAGCTCCATCCCCAGCACTAAGTCTCAATTGAAATAATATGAATTATGTTCTTCAAACATAATGGAATAAAATTAGAAATCAATAACAGAAGGGCATTTGGGAAATTAATAATTATATGGAAATTAAAGAGCACAGTTCTGAATAACCAAAAATAGGTCCAGGAAAAATTCAAAAGGGAAATTATAAAAATACTTTAAGAACAAAAATGAAAACATACTAAAACTTTTGTGTTTTAGTGAAAGCAGTGCTCAGAAATAAATTTATAAATTTGTTCTTAAACTTTAAAAAAAATTCAAGAGAAGGGAATATTCCCTAGGTCATTCTATGAAACCAGTAGTACCACAATACCAAAGTCAGACAAATACACCACAATAAATCTACAGACCTAGAACCCTTACGGATACAAAGGCAAAAATTCTCAAGAAAATACAAGTAAACCAAATCCAGTAGTATATTAGGATTACACATCATGACCAAGAGGAAACAAGAACACAAGGGTGGCATAGCATGATAAAATCAGTTAAGGTAATGTTCCATACCGATAGAATTGAAAAAACACATGATCATCTCACTAGATACGGTAAAGGCATCTGATGAAAGTCAACACTGTTTCATGACAAAACACTCAGTAAACTAAATATAAAAGGGGATTCTCTCAACTTGATAAAGGGCATCTATAAAGAATTTATAAATGAATGCATAAGCTAAATGTTAAATACTGAAAGCTTTCCTCCTAGAAACAGTCACAAGACAAGAATGTCCATTCTCATCACTTGTATTCAACATTATAGTAAAAGTTCTAGCCAGGGCCATTAGTTAAGATTAAAAAAAAAAAAAGCTATTATAACTAACTCCAACTGTTTCTAAAAACAAATGACAATCTTACCTATAGAAAACTGTAAAGAATCTGGGCTGGGGTTGTGGCTCAGTGGTAGAGCCTCGCCTAGCACGTATGAAGCACTGGGTTCGATCCTCAGCACCAAGTAAAAGTAAATAAGTAAAATAAAGGTATTGTGTCCATCTACAACTAAAAAATAAATAAATAAAAATTAAAAAATCCAGGGTCTCACACATGCGAGGCAAGCACTCTACCGCTGGGTTCAATCCTCAGCACAACATAAAAAAAAATAAAATAAACAAGTGAAATAAAGGTGTTGTGTCCAAATACAACTAAAAAATAAATATTTTTTTAAAAAGAAAACCCTAAAGAATCTACATAAAAATATGTTAAAATAATTAAGCTAATTAATAAGTGAGCTCAGCAAAGTTGCAAAATACAAATCAATTCATACAATATGCATTAATAAAACAGAAGTTAACACCTCTATTTTTAACTCTTTATGAAAATCTTGCTTCTAATTTTATTTACCTTTTACATGTGAACCTATTATAATCAAAGTAATCTTTAGTTTTGCTGCTTTAAAAAAAGTCCTGTTTTACAAATTAGAATAAAAAGTAATTTAAAAAGTCCTATTCTGTGAAAGAAAGGGCAAAAAATTAAATTAAAATCAGTTGTATTCCTATACACTAGCAATGATCAATTCAGGAAGGAAAATAAGAACTTAATTCCATTTATAATAACAATTAAGAAAACTCATAGAAATAACTTTAACCAAAGAAGTGTAAAGACATATACACTAAAAGCT